CTATCTTGAAAGTATTGCTGGAGAAACAATTATGAAAAAAAATTTGTCTGCTTCTGTTTATGAAGATGCCAAGTCACATGATAAATTATCAATATTTACAGAGCTCTAAAATGTTCTGAAAGGTGGAAGAAAAAGAAACAGTATTCAAGAGTCTTGTCCCAAGGTGTTGTGGGGGGAGACAAGGTGATAATTGAGAACTATATATAAAAATAGGTACAAAGAATTATGTGGAGCAACTAAATCTGATGGGATGGATGGACTTGCTTACGTTAGGGAAGGGTGTCTAGGTACATTGGATTCAAAAGCAGAGGAAGAACCTACTTTGGAGGAGTCTTTGTGAGTGGAAGGGAAATCCTGAAGTTAGGGTTGGTCTCTTTCTCAAAAAAAGGAAGTTGTTGCTTTAGGGGGGTTGACTAAATACCCTGACAATACTCACTTGACTAAAAATATCTCTTCCATGGGCTTGAAGTCCTAAAGCCAGAACCAGAGCTGTAGCTTGTTCCTGCTGCATGCCATCCACCTCTGCAATCTTGCCCAGGCTTATCCTTCCTTGGGAATGTCCTTCTCGCTTGCCTTCCTCACCTGCTTACTCCCACTTTATTTTACACCATTCCAGGAATCATGGCTTTAAAGAGTCTTTCTCAGCCCCTTCATTTATTGCACCACTGGGGCAGGGCCTCACCTACATTTTCCCATTGTATCCTGTACACGTTCCCATCACAGTGTTCATCATAACTGTTCATATCCACTGACTTCTCTGGACTCCAAGGACCACAAGGGTAGAGACTCTCTTGATTCTCTCTGTAACCTCAGCACACTGGCTAGCACATATGTATGCTTAAGAAATACTAAGTGTGTAGCTGGGTGCTGTGGCTCTTGCCTATAATCCCAGCACTTTAGGAGACTGAGGCAGGAGGCGTGCTTGAGCTCAGGAATTTGAGAGCAGCTTGGGTAACATAGCAAGACCCCATCTCTACTAAAAAAAAAAAAAAAAAAAAAAAAAAAATCAGCTAGGCATGGTGGCTGGCCCATGACTATAGTTCCAGCTACTTGGGAGGCTAAGGCAGGAGGATCACTTGAGCCTAGGAGTTGAAGGCTGCAGTGAGCTATGATTGTGCCACTGTATTCCAGCCTGGGCAACAGAGGGAGACCCTGTTTAAAAAAAAAAAAGAAAAAGAAAGAAAAGAAAGGAAGGAAGGAAATAAATTTGTAATTGAAGTTTTACCTGTTTATTTGTAAATTTAAATTTGGACAAGTTAGCTGGAAGTGTAGACTAGTAATGTGTTAACACATGAACCTAAATGAGTTTATTTGGTTGACTCCTTTATAGAAGCAGGAACAGAGTGGTGGTGAGTTAGCATGGCTCAGCAAGCTGGTTTGGGGGCAGGTAGGCAGAACAGGCTGGCTGTCAGCCCTGGCTGAGAGGCAGGTTTGAAAAAGCAAAGGTGAATGGCCTAGATTGTATTATTTTTATTCTTATTTTCCTAGTACTGCCCTTGTGTGAAAAGTGGGAGAAAGCAAGAAGTGTTTAGGGAACAGCAATTAATCTTTTGGATTTTCTTGACTAGATTGTGGAAACTGAGCAGAGGCAAACCATATAGAAACTAGCTGGGCCTGGACGATTGCTGGGGAGCTTTGGAAACACAGCCAGGTGGCAAGGTTACATGTAGAAATGTCCATCTTAGGAATGCATAATAGTTTAAAAAGCCATTTGATATTAGCTGGGTGTTTTGTATATTTGCACAGAGAACTTGCTCATTTATCGAGGTTCTTAAAGCACTCAGTTATCTGCCCAAGAGAGATGCCTTTTCACATAAACAACGGTCTACCTGGTGTCAGAATTTCTCAACAGATAAGACACACTTGTGCTCAGGAAGGAACTTCTGCAGGCAGATAGCATACCAAACTTTTATTGTTAATATGGGAAGAAAGGCATGCATCAGAATAACAGGAAAACCTGCTCTGGTGTGTTTGCACCTGAGGAGGGGGAGGGGATGCCACTTTTATCAGACACACTGAAAGCAGCCGTTCATTCTTGCAAGATGGACTGTTCCAGATTTTGTTGCTTTGTGAAATTTTTAGTACACAATGTAAGTAAGAGTTTTAGGCAGAATTTAAGTAAAATCCAGGATTATTTCAGACAGTTAGAAATGAACAATAACACTGATGAAGAGAGATGCTAACATTGACATGTTAACATGTAACAATAACATGTTTATCATTAGAATCAGAATCTCCTTGTTATATTTTACAGAGTTTAGCACTTGTCTGTTAATACCCATCTCACTGAATGTCACCATCCATAACATAGGTTTTTTCCCCCCTGGGTGGAAGGGATGGAGAGGAGTGGATCTTTTTCCAAATTTTTTTTCTTCCATCATGTTTATAGGTATAAAATTTCACAGACCGACATTTTCTAGAACCTCCATATTCGCTGAACAAGTTTGTTTAAATACAAAGATTTTTAAGTGACATTTTGACTTCTGATTTATATGGAATCTTAATAAATTATTCCAAATAAACTCTCAAATTATTCTGATTAAGAAGTCTGATTAAGAAGTTTTTCTTCTCAAAAGAAAAATAAATATTTTCAATTCTTTTTAAAACATGTTTTTGTGGTTGGCAGTGCCTTCGTCTCATGGCAAATAAGAGATTAAGTAAAATGCTAACTTGTAGTAACTTTATATTCTTAAATTTCTTATCCTAAAGACTAATACAGAAGCAATTCCTCGGAAACCTCATTTGCCTGGCAAGTCAATGGCTTACTTTGCTTCTTGTTATTTGCTTTTAACAGTAACAGATATTTTTATTCCTTTTTTCCTTCTTCTTTAATTTGCAGAGTCAATTAAACTGTTTAACCAAATAGATCTTAATAGATCTATAATAAGATCCAAATAGATCTTATTATATTCCTGTCATAATTATTTTTTAAAACTGGCAGGAAGCCAGTATTGAACATCATTTACAACCTTGGTGAATGGTCATGTAAATGGACAATTTGCAGAAATTCCAGCTGGGGTTAACCTTAGAATAGGGTTGTTCCAATATAAAACTGCTGGCTTCCTTTGCATTATTATGGATTTCTGTTTGTTTTCTTTACACTGTTGGGCAGGCTTCCCCTGAGAAGTTTAGATGGACGATTTAAGGGAGGTGTGTTTTCAGGAGGACTTAGTGGTGATATTGGAAAAATCTTAGTGAAACGATGGCCAAGGTCATTATAATATAGCCTTGAATCTCATAACTCAGGAGGAAGTTGGTAGGAGGTGGTGGCAGAAAGGGAAAGATACTGAGGTGTTTCTAACACGAGCACAGGAATATGTGGCAATAATAGAACATTACTAAAGTTCTCCTCTAGAATGAGTCATTGACAAATATAATTTGAGGCTTTATACAGCCCCAAGAAAATATCAATTTCTTTGATTTTTATAAACTTGCACTTTAGAAAGGTTGGCAAATTGATAGACAATGAATAAATGCATTCAGAATTCAAAGTTGACATTAATACTTTGGCCTCAATTTAGCTAGATGAGATATTTAGTGACAGTTGGATGTCTTTCCAAGGGTTAGATTTGCTAAAAAATAATATTAAAACAATATGACAGATAACTTTCAGTATTCTAGACTTAACTAGGAAGCAAATTTTGCATTCAAGAATAGAGAATAACTTTGCAAACCCAAATCAAGAAATCTAACCACCCTAAAGAAACGAATTTTGTTGTAAAGCTAAAATGATTACATATTGTATTCCTTAACTTAATGAAAGAAAAATGTACCTCTGGTCTAATAAGTTCCATATTATTAAATGTCAATGTTAGCATCTCTCTTCTTCAGTGTTATCAAAAATTTAATGCTAATATTATTTTACTGAATCTGTGAAGACATTTTACTATTTTTCTTTTATTTTTCCTTTTCTTTTTGGAGGTTGGGGTGTGTTAGTGTTTCAAAGTTTGGTGTTGAGACTGTATGTACTTCCAAAGGACAATACTGAAATAGTTGGTGAAATTATAATCAGAGTTCTTCATCCTCAACTCTTTATATACAAGAAGTTTTGCCATTTCAAAGAAAGACCAGAAGTTTTAAAAAATAATTATGACAGGAATATAATAAGACTCTATCAACACTATTAAGATCTATTTGGTTAAACAGACAGATACCTTTTCCCACATGAACTATTTTTTGATCAATATAAAGTATGGTAAAGCATGGAAAAAAAGCAAAATTAGAGATACTTTTGTAGGTGGACACATGTCAGATAGAATATAAAATTAGCTTAAATATTCAAACACTATAAAATGTGAGGCAGATAGGATATCATCTCCAAAGAGGATACAGTGAAAACAATACTTTGAAATGACAAATAGTCAATATGGGCATAACTTTTCATATTAGAGAAACCTTATTGCCCAGACAAATTTAGTAGTAGTGTGTATTTTACTTCTAACAATTTAGTGACTGAAGCACTTTGACTTTTCCATCATTTTCTGATAATAAAAGCTCCCATTCTGTGAATATTTTACAATTTTTTTTTTCAGATGGAGTCTAGCTCTGGTTCCAGGCTGGAGTGCAGTTTTGTGATCTTGGCTCCCTGCAACCTCTGCCTACCGGGTTCGAGCAATTCTCCTGCTTCAGCCTCTTGAGGAGCTGGGATTACAGGTGCACCACCATGCCCAGCTCCTTCTTGTATTTTTAGTAGAGACAGGCTTTCCCCTTGCTGGCCAGGCTCGTCTCAAACTCCTGACCTCAAGTAATCCGCTGGCCTCGATCTCTCAAAGTGCTGGAATTACAGGCATAAGCCACTGCACCTGGCCTACACTTTTTAATCATCTGATTTCATGAAGAGTTGTTAACTACTCCCAGCTAATGCTAAACAGGAGGTGTTCAGGTTCTCCCACAGGCACTGTTCCCAGGCTCAGTTCACAGGAGCCCTTATTCAGTGGTTATTTAAGAGCTTTGAAATGCCATTCACCTGCGGCCTATTTCACCTTTCCCATGATTCTTAGGGAGACCCTGGCCTCCATTTTGAAAACGGAAAATAAAAACCGCAGATCTGTGAAGGTCTAAGGTGAAGTTCAGAAAAGCTGTATCGACTGTTGAGACCTGGCGACTTGTTTAAATTTCATCAGCCTCACTTCTATGAACTCTCAGGTAAGCACTCTATTGACTTATAATTTTCTTGTGAACTTTATAAAGCAGAGGAAAATGGCCGACATGGCAAAGTACTTGGTTAGAGTCCAAGGTGCAGTGTTGGTAATTAGCTCAAGGGAAAAAAAAGTCAGAGTGAGGCTGCTCGCTGGAAGTTTGAGTGCAAATTTGACAAGGAAAGGAAAATGGATTGCACTCCAGTGAGAACTAGTTTAACACTTGAATTCAGAAAACTCCAGAGTTCCTCCTTGTTGAGTCCTGCAAATAAAGAAGAGGGTAAGAAAGAAGCAATTCTGAAAGAGGGCTTGGAGAGTAAACTGAAGATTTCCATGGAAATAGCTGTTTTTTTTTTTTTTTTTTATGACTTTTTAAAGCCACTTTTAAGCTATTGCTTTCAGTTTACTTCAATGCACTCACTGAAGTAAGCTTAGAAAGAAATCTTTGATATGCCAGATCAACCAAAAGTTTAAACATATCCTTTTGTGTCTCCATTTATAATGCAAATAGTAAGTTGGTGTTTTGGGTTCATTTCACCATGGTCTCTGAAGTGGGTTAACATACACAGAATGAGGAAGTGAAGGGAGTTCCAAAGAGAGCACATCTTTGATAGTTCAATAATAATAAAAAAATGTATTTAGGTCTTTTCTAAATACCTTTCCCTTCCTAAGAATATGAAACATGAGAGGAAGATCTAAGAAGAATAAATTGTGGTTGCCCTCTATGTTAGCTGAATGAATAAAGATATCGTATTTGTTCTATGAGTTATCCACTACTTAAATATTCCTTAAGTCTAGCCTTTATGAGCTCATAAAAAAGACTTTGCTTATGTGTCTAGGAAAGCCAGTATCTTTATATGCTGTCAGAACTGAATTTAACATACTGTTTCAATATAACTTTGAAAACCAGCAGATATTTTGTTATAGAAAGCAAGCTAGGCAAGCACCTTAAACCCGTGTTTACATTTTAGTTTTATCAAACATAAACATTTCTTAGTTGCAATAGTTTTAAAAAGTGGTAATCTATGCTTGAGAATGATGGAAAGAGACAGAATTCTGGTTGAAATAGTATTGCCACTGTACTGTTTTATTCATGAGAATCTCCAATCTTTTTTTCATATATACTAAAAAAGCCAAAATTAATTAATGTCAGAAGCACAAATGAGAATTGGCAATGATCATCCATCCATGCTGGGGAGGGAAGGCTGGGTGCTCTGTATGGTATAATCTCCAGATTGCGTTTCCCCACTGAGCACCTCTGTAAAGCCTCCCATGCATTTGGAAGCTTCAGAATTTCTTCTGGGCAACTAAAGTCAAATATATTTTTTGACAAATCCCAACCCCTCCTTCAAGGCAACCAAGAGCAATAATGTTTCAGGAAGCTCCAGCTGAAGTGTTAATAATAACCATCAAACAGAAGTTTTACCATCTTCTGTTTCATGATTGAGCTTTTTCAAATGTAAACAATTTATAAGGAAAAGGGTGAGCCGTGTCGGATATGAGAAACAGAGAAAAATTTGGTGGGAAAAGTCAGAGGCATTCATTGTCAGGAGATAGTTAGGACACGCCTGTGATTGCAGACTGGGTAGATTCTTGTCTTCATCCTTCCTCTTGGGTTATGAGTATCACTTCTTCTCCCTCTTCCTTCCCTTCCTTTCTCCTCATTCTCTCTTGGGTGTGGACTTGTCTTACCTTTGCCTCTCTTGGGGACCTGTGTTGACAGCTCTGTCACACTGGCCTTCTCTGCCCAAGCCACTCCCGTTACTCTTCTCCCACTTGGCCTAGCTGAGGAACTGCTGCTTCCCAGGCACCCTGCGTGCCTTAGCTTTGCCTACGTACCTCCGGTGTGTATTTCTTAATGGCTATATTTTAGGAGCAAAAGTCTCCCAATGACCCCTTTCATTTGTTGTCTGACTTGAATTAAGCTGCACAACTCTGATTAGAGACAAATCTTTCTTTTTCCACACTGCTGCTTTTCTGCTGTCTCATTTAACACAGCTGGTATAAAATGCTAGAACTATTTAGCATAACAAGACCTATTAGTAAAAGTGATGAGAAAATACAATTAAAAAGGCAAGAAATATATCCCCTGTAGGAGATGGTGTTGTTACCCTGCTTAGATGCCCTTCAGTGGCTCGTACTTGCTTCCCCCCTGCCTCCTGTCCAAGCTGCTTTGAGTGTGGCTCATGACCTCATAGCTACCTTCTTCCCTGGAGACTTGTCATCTGGGAAATGACAGGGACGGGGGTCAAAGTAGTGGGGAGCTAACTAAAGACCAGCCTCTTTACCTCAAGGTGGACCTAATGCCGTGGTATGATTTGTGCTCCAGAACTTCCAAATCAAATGAAGCTAGCCTCCAGCTAAGCCCACACTTGGTCAACATTCTTCCACTCTCATCTGCTCCCCTTCTCCTGAGAATGCTCCAATAAATCACTTGAACAAAAACTTTTACCTCAGGCCCTGATTCTAAGGAATCTCACCCAAGACATATTTTTTTAAATTAAAAAAAAAAACACTTGGAATTATTTGGCTAAATCTTAATATACATGAAATGACCAAGGATGGAATTGGTATTGACCCAAAACATTAGATTTGGCAAAAACAACACAAAAACTTAAGATATTTCATAGCAAAACTTAAGAACTAAAGCGATATTGTCTTTTGCCTCATTAAAAAGGGAACTATTTTTTGAGGAGTTGCAAATATTTAAAATGTTATTAGCCTGGAGAAATTCCATGAGATGGACTGCAGCAGTGTCTTGGTTACTTATGTTTTGACTGGTTTTACAGTTTCCAAAGTAGTTTCAATTACATGACCTTGGGTCAATCTCATGACAATCATGACAAACGAGATACTTATTAGCTGCATTTTCCACATATCAAGATTGTGTCTCAGAAAGGTAAAATGGCTTGACCGTGTCTCACAGTTAGTAAGTACCTGGCTCGTAGTTGGTGCTCAAACCCAGGTTTCTGTGAGAAATATGAGGGAATATTAGGAATAAACCAATTTCTTACCTTTATCATAGGTAGAGTTTTCCATAATTCTGTTATTAAGTCTATTAGGGTTGCACTTGTGTATAGCAAGACCTGTTTGTAAAAATGATGACCTAGACTTAATCTGGATCAAAGCAGTCCTTTTCCTATTAAATGTGTGCATTATCCATCGTTGCATAACAAACTATCTTAAAACTTAGCAGTTTAAGACAACAAGCACTTATTATCTCATAATTTCTGTGGGTCCAGAATCAGTAGGTAGCTTAAGTGCCACTCTCTATCTCAAGGGCTCTCACACAGCTACAATTAAGGTATTGGCCAGGGTTGTGGTCTCACTTAAAGGCTCAGCGAGGAGAGACTAGCTTCAAACTCAGTCAGTTGTTTGAAGGATTTGATTCCTTGGGAGCTTTTGAACTGCAGCCTCCATTTCCTCACTGGTTACTGGCCAGAGGCTTTCCTCAGTTCCCTGGCATGTGGCTCTTTCCATAGGACAGCTAACAATATGGCAGGTGGCATTCTACAGAGTGAGTAGACGAGGGAAAGAAAGGTGAGCAAGGTGGAATTCAGAGCGTTTTTGTTACTTGATCTTGGAAGTGAGAACCCATCAATTTTGCTGTATTCTCTTGGTAAGAAGTGAGTCACTAGGTCCAGCCCACACTCAATGGGAGGGTATTACACATGGACATGCATAACCAGGAGCCAGGGAGTCCTGGGAGCCATTTTAGAGGCTGCCTATTGCAGTGTGTCACTTGGCTTCCTCATCTACAAGGCCCTGCAATTTGATCCAACCACTGTTTTCTCTATAAGGAAGCACTGGATTATTTTCAATATGTTAATTTCATGGGTTTAGGCATATGTGCTGTAGTTTAATGTTCTTCTCACTTGTTCTTCCTCCCACCCACTCTTCAATTTCTCTTCTCCTTTTGCTCTTCCTTTCTTGCTTCCTCTGTCCTGCTGCTTCTGACTGTACTCACTTCTCTTTCAGGCTCCCTGTTTTCTCTCTCCTCCCTTCTCATGCTCTCACGGTCACCTTCCTTTCAGAATCCAAATTCTCTGTATCTGTTCCTGCTGCCATGGCCCTTGTTGCTCCTCCATCTGCTCACAGGGACCATGGCCAACCAGCAATTTTAGCTGCTGGCTCTTAAGTTTCTAAAGAAAGTGATTCAATTCAACTCTTGGGTCTAGTCTTTCCACCAAGTTCCTCTAGGAAGATGACACCATGATGAAGTGAGACAAAGTGTTTTTTATAGAACATTGAGAATCCTGTTTTAGAAGGTGGGGGGAGGATTTTTTTTCTCTATTTCTCCATGCATAATGTCAGATCTGAATTATATCTAGTGTTGTCTTGTGTGTTTTATGTTAAATTATTTAAAAAGATATGATGATGATGAGAATGATGATGATGATGTAAGCTAAAGTACACCGTCATATCACTTATCTAAAATTAATTGTTTAATCCTGATGGTAGTGACTGCAGCCTTTATCTCTATTTCCAGTATCTAGAATCAACTGAATAAATAAATGAATGTAGCCATATAGCAGAACTAAGTAGATTGGATAGGTTGGCTGCTTTAGCCACTGGAGATAGAGTAGAAATGTTTTCCCAAATCTGATGTGAAATCCAGGGAAAATAGTAGTAGTATCTATATTTCTATTTTTCAACCATAGATGATGCTGTCAAAGAAAAAGACAAATTTGACCCAGCAGAGAGCACATTTCATATGTGGGATCGTTGTGCAGTAATTAGCCTGTTTTGGTCTAGGATGACTGATAGCGATTCTATGGCCCATTTTCCTGATATTAAGCAAAGGTTTTTGGGGCAAAAATGTGATTAGAATATGTTCAACTTGATGATATGTATGTTAAGGCTATTGGCACATACCAACCAATTTTATTGCATGACCTATTGCTAGAAAACATCAAAAGTGGAGGTCAAATCATTTGAAGAATAGTTGTTTAGTGAGTTAAAATGAATGAAGTCTTCAGTGAATACCAGCATCAAATTCTGTCCTAG